AGAAGATCATGGTTGCCAAGGGTTGGAAGAAGGGGAGAGCAGTGAATAAGAGGCACACAGAGGATTTTTAGGACAAACTATTCTGTATGACACTGTAATGATACATACATGATATTATGTATTTGGCAAAACTCCATAGACTATACAACACAGAGAATGAGCCCTAATGTAAACCATGGACTTAATAATAACTAACCAGTATGTATACATACTGGTTCATCCACTGTAACCAGTAAACCCCACTAATACAAGAAGGTACTTATAGGAGAAAGTGCGGGGGGGGGGATGAGTAAGGGGGTATAAGGGAACTCTGTACTTTCTGCTCAATTTTTTTTAAGAAGGTCTCACTCTGTTGCCCAGGCTTGAGTGCAGTGGCACAATCATGGCTCACTACAGCCTCAACCTCCTAGGCTCAGGCAATCTTTCTGCCCCAGTATTCCAAGTAGCTGGGACTATAGATGCACACCACTACACCTGGCTAATTTTTATATATTTTGTATAGACGAGGTCTCACTATGCTGCCTATGTCTTGAACTCCTGGACTCAAGCAATCCTCCACCTTGGCTTCCCAAAGTGCTGGGATTACAGGCGTGAGCCACTATGTGCAGTCTCTGCTTGATTTTCTGTAAGTCTAAGACTGCTCTTAAAAAGAAGTCTTGTTAATTTTTTAGAAGTTCATATATTAGCCGGGCTCGGTGGCTCAGCCTGTAATCCTGCGCCTTTGGGAGGCTGAGGTGAGTGAATTGCCTGAGCCCGCGGGTTCGAGACCCGCCTGGGCAGTGAGACCTCATCTCTACAATAAATCAAAAAATCAGCTGGGTGTGGTGGCGCATGCCTGTAATTCCGGCTACTCGGAAGGCTGAGGCGGAAGGATCGCTGGAGCCCAGCAGGCCGAGGCTGCCGTGGCCGGGAGCGGCCACTGCACTCCAGTCTGGACGACAGAGTGAGACTCCAACTCAAAAAAAAAAAAAAAAGAAGTTCATATATTATCAGGTAATTTGACTAAAGATAGACATCTGCTGGAGAAAAGCCTCAGTTTTAATGGTTAAAAATTGTGTACATTTCTTATAAGAAAAAAAGTAATTTAGTGACGGGCATTTTCTTCTACAACACTAGAGTCTGTTTTAAAGTGCCTTCCCCTGTGCATTTGCCTCACTTCCGTCAGCATTGTATTTTCCCTCATAAGCTGATATGGAAAGAGGATAACATAAAGAACCCCCGAGAAAGCAAAATATGAAATAAGAAAGAGGTCGGGCTCAGTGGCTCAGCCTGTAATCCCGCGCTTTGGGAGGCCAAGGTGGGTGGATTGCTGAGCCTGTGGGTTCGAGACCCGCCCAGGCAATTTGGTGAGACCTCATCTCTACAATAAATCAAAAAATCAGCCGGGCGTAGTAGTGCGCACCTATAGTTCCAGCTACTTGGAAGGCTGAGATGGAAGGATCGCCGCAGTCCAGCAGGTCGAGACTGCGGTGGCCGGGAGCGGCCACTGCACTCCAGTCTGTGCGACAGAGTGAAACTCCAACTCAAAAAAAAAAAAAGAAAGAAAGAAAGTGCGCCTTCCTTTAGGAAGCGAATACTCTTTCAGTGAAGGGAAATGTGAAGCCACCACTTGGGCCTACACAGCCCTTGTGGAGTCACCACCATATTGTAAATCTCCACCTTTCTGCCAAAGAGAGAAGCTAGAGGATACAGTATATCCAGTAAAACCCAGGGAGCAAAATTAGGAAATTATCTGCTAATAAACCAACTGAGCATAATTCATTTTCTACCAATTGCTGTAACAAACTACCACAAATGTAGTGGCGTAAAACAACACTAATGTATTATCTTTCAGTTCTGGAAGTCAGAGGTCCAAAATGAGTCTCACTGAACTAAAGCCAAGGTGTTGGCAAGCTGTGTAAGCCTTCCTCCTGTAGGCTCCTGGGGAGAAGCTTCCTTCCCTGTCTCTGGTTCCAGAGGCTGCCCACTTTCTGTGGCTCAAGGCACCCCCCTTCCATCTTCTTAGCCAGCAGCCCTGGGCAGTCATTCTCATCCGGCCATGTCTCTAGTTCGACTTTTTCCATCTCCTCTTTCCACTTTTAAGGAACTGGAAATTACACTGGGCCCAGCTGGATAATCCAGAATAATCTCCCTACTTTCAAGACAGCAGAGCAGCAACCTCAATTCTCTTTTGCCACGTAGCCTAACATAGAACATATTTAAGACAGGACAGAACATAGACATATTTAAGAGGTCATTTTTCTGTCTATGACAATGTCGAAAGGAATTTAATGTGATCACGCTCTGCTCTCTTTCTGGGTACAGTTGTTTTCTATGATTCGGTTTCCTTTCTGAAAAATTATTTAATGATCAATCTAAAATGCCAATCTCTATCAAAAACTGTGATACATGCTTTGGATAATTATGGAAAAACATAGAGCATAGTGGGATTAGAGATTAGTGGTGATTCAGTATGTGTCATGGTTTAGTGTGGTTAAAAATGCCAAGTGTAGCTGAAATGAGAATTAACTCTCTAGTTAAAATGCATTTTTCAGTCTCAGCGAACAGAAAAGCCAGGGCCAATGGTTTTAGATGCAACTGTCACTGTCCTTCCACAGAGGGTCACTACATACCTGCTCTGGGAGCTGGTAAATCTATACAGTATGAACTGTGCGCACTGGCAGCAGAGATGTCTCCAAGGAAGGAAACTGGGTCAAGGGACAGGTGCAAGGACACATTCTTTGTTACACACCTTCTTTTGTCTTTTGAAATTTATACCATGTGTTATCGACTATTCAGAAAATATACTAATTTTTGGTTTGTTTTTTTGAGTTGGAATTTCATTCTTGCTGTCCAGGCTGGAGTGCAGTGGCACACTCACAGCCACCGCAGCCTTGACCTGCTGGGCTCAGGCGATCCTTCTGCCTCAGTCTTCCAAGTAGCTGGAAGTACAGACACACGCTAACACACCTGGCTAGTTTTTGTAACTTACTGTAGAGATGAGGTCTCACCAAGTTTCCCAGGCTGGTCTCGAACCCCCGGACTCAGGCAATCCTCTTGCCTTCACCTCCCAAGGTGCTGGGATTACAGGCTGAGCCACCACGCCCAGCCCAGAAAACATACTAATTTTTAAAATAACATATTACGCAGCCCAATCCACTGTGGTAGGTTGGTGAAGGTCGAAGGGTCCATTCTTCTTCACCCCCTTTCTTCCAGGGTCCCATGGAAAAAGAAGACACTGGCCCCTTAGGAAGCCCCTTATCTGGAATCACTGGCATCTACTGGCAAGAGAATTCCACAAGACTAGAAGCATTGAGGGAGACAGGTGTAAGAGAGACCGCAATGCCCAAAGGCCACCCCCAGAAGGGAAAAGAGAGGAGGCTTAGCTCTATCCAAAGCTATCATAGACCATGCTTATATATTTTGTAAATTGAATAACAAAAACTGAATACAAAAGTCAACAATTATAATCAAGAGACGAAGTAATGTAAAAATAATAGTGCATTAGTAATATGGGTCTAAACCCTGTTAATATCCCACACACACACACACACACTGCCCTACATTTTAAGAAAAAAGATTTGGCTGAGACGGGAAAGAAGAATTTTTGATGCTCTCAAAAATTGTAGGTAATAACTAATGTCTCAAACAACTAGAAAAGATGAAGCATCACCCAAACAATGAAATGAAAAAGGACAAAATAGTTATATACCAAAAATGTTAAAAGAGCATATAAATTCTAATTTTATGAAAACTGTTAAACATCTATTAGATTACAAAAAAGATGGAGTCAAATAACTAAATCTTAATATCTAAAACTAAAGGGGAGGGAGTGCACATATTAGGTTAGAAAATCTGCTAATGAATCAAAAACAAGTGTGGTGATATTAACAAGTATACCGCAAGGTGTAAAAGGGCCCCTGCTTGTTCACAATAGACATAATGGATGTGAATCTGAATCACATGGGCTTCAACGTGTGTAAAGCTTAAAACAATTTGTTAAAGATACAAGAAAATAAGTCAGCCGGGCTCGGTGGCTCAGCCTGTCATCCCGCGCCTTTGGGAGGCTGAGGTGAGTGGATTGCCTGAGCCCGCAGGTTCGAGACCCGCCTGGGCAGCAAGACCTCATCTCTACAATAAATCAAAAAATCAGCTGGGCATGGTAGCGCATGCCTGTAATTCCGGCTACTTGGAAGGCTGAGGTGGAAGGATCGCCGGAGCCCAGCAGGTCGAGGTTGCGGTGGCCAGGAGCGGCCACTGCACTCCAGTCTGGGCTCCAGTGAGACTCCAACTCAAAAAAAAAAAGATACAGGAAAACATGAAAACAATGGCAATGGACTTAAACCTATTTGTCTGTAGGACATGGTGTTCAGTAACTGAAAAGGACTTAAACTTGCTAAGCAAAACAGAAAGCTATCAGGAGGCACAGAACTGACAGAAACCAGGGGCCCGTGCAGAGCACCAATGAGCAGCACAGGCAGACAACTCGACATGCCCCGGTCTGGGGCAAGACTGTCAGCAGGCGGGGACACTGCTTGGCAGAAGCCTGTGGCCTACAGCTCTCTGGTGCATGCTCACTGGCAGACCTAAACCAATCCTGCCCAGCCACAGTGGCAAACCCCGAAGCAGGCCATGCCAGCAGCTACTCAGCCACCTTCGCTCAGACTGCCCCAGAGTCCATCCCCTCCCCTCGTCACTGAACTATGGGTAATCTTGCTGATCATTTCCAAAAATTAACCTGGAAAACGGCACTTGAAGAAAGTTTCAAGTTTCAAAACTCATCTGAAAGCACTGGAGTAAATCTTAAATAATGAAAAGCTGGGTCCATCCATGACAGTTAAAGTATTGACAGCTGTAAAAAAGAAAAAAAATTGAACATCATCTTCCTCTTGTAGTCTCATGCATTTAGTCAAACTGGGCATTTTTCAAAAATTTTCCAACCCACCATTTGTCAAAGAAATTAGGGAAACTATAAAGCTGAAGGGTAAACACTTTAAATAAGAGTTCATACTCCAAGGAAGTAAGAATCTTTCAACTTTTATTTCTAGGATACATTCATCTGGAACCTTTTTGTTTCTTTACAATTTTCCCCCTAAGAGAAATGAATACAATAAAAATATAATCCTACTACCAGCAATGTTTCTAACCAGAAAAGAATCTAAAATCTCTGGTGTGATAATATAGGATTTTTTTTAAAAATATAAACTTCATACCAGAAATAAAGCCTGAATATTCTCTTTCTTTAAAAATATAATTTGTCCTTCTTTACGCCTCCATGTAAATCGTATATTCAACTTGTTAGTCCTAAAGTCTATTTTTAATCCAGCAATATAACACTACATATCAGGGTTTTTTCCTTTGTATCTTGTTCTGTACTGTGGATCAACTAATAATGGCAAGTCTTTAAAAAATAAAATGCCACTAGTTGTAGGCAAAATTCAAGAGATACTGAAACAAAAATTCCCCACCAGCAAACTGAAACTTACTTATTAACAAATCGCATTTTATCCTGTTTCTGAAATTAGAAAACATATACAAAGCACTTTTGTAAACTCTAACGCTCTAATTGAAAACATCTTTTTAAATCTGCTTTGACTAGAAAGGCTGCTGACGGGGACAGAACATTAGGAACACAAGGTTTTATGAAGTCCACTCTTTTCTGTAACTCTTAGATTTGGAAGAGTGACTATAAATTGCCAAGAATTTGGAGTATGGTCACAGGGATATCTTGCAAAGATTGATTGGTTGGCCGTGACCTATGACTGCTCTTAACTGAGAATAAGTACCAACTGGCACAGGAGTAACTCTCTTTGGGCCAATACTTTATACTAGCTGAGAAGTCATGCCATCTGTCTCCAATGTAGGAATAAGAAGTTAGAGTTTTTCACCCACTTTTGACTAGTTCCTCTATGCAGAACTTCATTACTTGAAGTATCATCAAATTTAAAATAGTATTCCAACACTCAACATAAATGGTCTGGGGATGATTTCTTTTCCTTAGTTTAGGAAGATAATTTAAAAGCCTAATTATAAACATGGGTACAACATACCCGAACGACAGAGTCCTTCCAACTCCAAATCAATAACATTATTCGTAACAACTTTTGAGGGTATTTTCTGGAACAGGAAAAGCTGAGCAAAGGATTTTTTTAAAGTTCAGTAACAATCCCACTGAGAGCTTTCCTCTTGTTAGATTGTTAGATATAAAAGAAGCTTTTTTTCATGAGTCACCTCAATGAAACTAGATAGGCCTATGAAACCCAACAATAAACAGCTGCACAAACTTGGTCATCTGTACCCAGACATGGGTGACCAGAAAGAAACTACCTACCTAAAGAGTGACTGAACTGACAAGAAGGAATGGGTCTGGGCTGCCACATTTAAACCGTTATGCTAAGTCAAGAGAGTCAGGTGTGCTCTGCCCCAAGAGGCCGTGGGGCCTCCTTTCCCAGAGTTTCTGAAAGACCTTCCTATGCTCTCAGCAGGCTCAGCTTCACAAAGGGAATGGGCTAAAAGGTCTCACACTTCTTTTTTGGCCCTCTGATGCACTTACACTTTCCATTAGTGCCCTCTTTCCCCAAGAGAATATTCAGGCCAATTTTGTTTTGTTTTTTTCTTTTTTTCTGCATTAGTAACTAGAATTTATAAACTAGCGATTTGGAAAACTCCTAACTCTCACTGAGTGTCTTATGTTAGTGTAAGGTATCTCAAGCAATAAGAATGGAGAACTTAAATGCCATTTACAGAAGAGTCAAACAAGCCCATGTCACACATGTTGATGAATCCAAAGTATTAAAACTTAGCAATGATAAGTAAAAATCTATTTTTGCCAAGGTTTCACGACTGGACTTTAAACCAGTTTCAGTATTCCATGTAACCCAAGGTCATGTATATTGAATTAACATGCCTTCCTGTTTTCTTCATACAACAAATTTTTTTTTAAATACACATTTTTTTAAACCAATTCACTCCCTTTTACAATCATATCTTCAGTTGAACATTTAAAACATATATCCAAACTGTTAATGAAAACAATAGTGGACCAAGTGACAGTATCATTAAAATGAAACAATTATGCAAGAAAAGGTAAGCATTAAAACTCAGAAAATAAACATAAATAGATTCATTGGAAATCTCACACACCTAATGTGTTCAGGACAAGCCTCACACAGAAGAGATCCCGCTGTGAAGTAAGACAACTCATTCCTTTCTCATTTTCTCATTCATTAATGCATGTCTTCGCTATTTTTACTGAGGTTGATACAGTGATTAGATAACTTAATAGCAGATTAATATTAAATACACAGCCTATTCCAGAAATGACATATGCTCCCAACAATTGCTTTGTGTGTTCCCTGAATTATAAAATAGTCTAATCTTTTAGAAACAAAAAAATTGAGAGGTCTTAGATCTATCTATTCATATACATTGTGCATTAAATATTACTAACTTAAGACAGTAAGGTGGAAAAAAAAGGAGTAAAAGGGTACAGTAAATTTTCCCCCAAACAATGCTATTACATTAGACAGTATTGCTAGTGACATGTATTTATTTTCAGTAGGTTATGGGGGAAAAAAATGAAAGAATTATTACCAGAATTTGCATCAATTTCTTGGAGAAGCTAACAATATAACATTAAATACACATATGTATTTGTATATTTAGTTGAAGAATCTTTGGTAGCAAGTGTGTGTTTCTTCCACATTATAGGACTTTTCAAAATAAATGTCAAGATTAGTTTACTAATTGGTATAGGAAAGATAAATTATGATACTATTCTTTTGGTTTCCCTATAAAATGTCCTTGAACCTATTACCTTGCACTATTCATGCACTTAAACACAGTATCTGCTTAAATTATGTACATACAAAATGAGAGACTTATACCAGAAAGAAATTAGACAGTAATGAGAATCAATGACAAAACGTAACAATGACAACTGTTCTTAAGTAATTTATTTTTAAATTATAAGATTTACAATTCCTTGATTATGCAAAATAGTATAATGGAAATTAAACCAAATCAATAAACCAAAAGAGAAATAAAACTTAGTTTTCTTGAATATCTGTACTTAAGCCATCTTTATAAGTACCTGATGTCCCAACCATGTCTTATATAGAAAGTATAATAATTTCAAATGTTTCACTTGCAGGTTTAATTTCTCATTTGCAATTTTTGTGAACTTTAATTTATTTCAAATCCTATTATATCTAGTGTTTATACTGCAACAGCAGCAAATTTCACATGTGTAATCAAATGTGGAGCTGGGGCACAGCTTTCAGCTTTTAGCCGCAGACAGAAATTATACACTGCATTCAGTACAGTAGAGTACATTATATTAACCAGAAGGTAGAGTTTAGTACACTTATTGCCGGGTTGGCATTTCTTTCCCTCTGATCTGAGCCAGGTGAGCTTCTGAGCAGACATATTACTGCTGTGGATAGTAAGGTTGCTGTGGGGGTTGAGGGAAGGGGTATGAAGGCTGCTGGGGTCCTGGGTATGGAGCCTGTCCAGGACTCTGGTGATATACCGGTGGATATGGCATGTTATACTGGCCGTACGCGTAAGGATTATAACCCATGGGCATGGGCATTTGGCAATACCTGATGGGGACAAGAAAACAAAAAAACTGGATTGGTAAGTCAAATACTAAAAAATAAAACATACAATAATTATAATAAAACTAAGTTTTTTTAGGAAAGCTATTTTTCTCTATTTTTCAGTTTATAAAGAACAGTGGAGAGAAAAAAACTGTCTCAAGACACTTAGAGAAAAGCATTTTTATCCTGTTATTAATTAAAATGAAAGAATATCAAGTGTTTAATACTATCTAGAAAATATTACTGAAGCTAATAAGACGAAATATTCAACTCTTAAAAAATAAAAATGGTGACACCATTTTTATGTGGCAAAACAAATAATCTAAATATATTTTTCACAAGACTCAATAGTCATTGCAATGCACATAAATTTACTATTTACAAAGTTCTGATATTTGGAAGACAAAATGTACTAAGTAAAATTTAGAGTACACCTTAAAAGGTAGTTAAATGTCTGGATTTTTAAGATTAAGAAATTACCACAAAGAGGGGTAACCTTTAAGAAAGTGCATTCTACAATTAGATCAGTTTCTGTTCAACAGTTTACTAAATGCCAGAATTTCAAAGTACAAAGATGTAAACAAGACCTTATTAGTTTTGCTATGCTAGGCTCTGAAAAGGTGCCTGTTTATCACCTAAATAAAGCAGCATTCTACATAGAGATATGTTTAATATAAACCTGATATGCCAAATATAAAAACATAAATTCTAAAAGCCTGGGAAAAAGCCATCCTACTACTTATATAACCGACCATTACATTATTTTTATTTCTGAATAAGCTGACAGTGTACCTTGTTCATTCATGACACTTCCATTTACAGAAGAGTGACCTTGTTTTTTAAAGGTTAGCCAGAGCTAGAAACATTTGCCAACTCATTGGGATATAAATGCTGCAGCCTTACCCAGGGTATCCTGGATAGGTGGGATAGGGTGGTCCCTGGGCCTGTGGAGGGGGAGCTGAGCCAGGGGTCAGTGATGGAGCTGGTGCAGCAGTCCCAGTCCCCACTGGAGCTGAAGCAGTAGCAGAAGGGGCTCGATTTGCTGGAAGCACAGGAGGCGGAGGCCGGGCAGGGGGCTGGGGCTTAGCAGGCTGTAAGAAAAAGTCAGCATGAGATGTTTCATATTTCTCTCAAATTGCTATTAATTAAAACAAATGAAGGCATATAGGAAATTCTAGAATCAACCAAATGTACTTCTGGTTTCCATTCTTAAATGTAGGCTTGTTACTCTAGAAATGTACCACAGTTGAGAAACAATTCTCCAATCAGTAGCCATCGCTCTTTTCCTGATGCCCAATATTTAATCATTTGCTGCTTCCACTAATGGCTGGACATTTGAGGTGAAAGGAAGAAGTGTGACATGGTTTATTACCCTAAACTCCCCCCAGTCCCCAAACTCTTTGTAGGAAAATTTTCAAGCACCAGGTAACTTTAAAAGAATAATATATAAAGCAATCACACATCTACCAATGAAATTCAATAACTATTAACATTTTGCCATATCTGCTTTATCTACAGCTATATCTACCTATCTATATGTTTGCAGAATCATTTGAAAGCAAATTGCAAGCTTCATGACACCAGTCCTAAAGACTTTATCCTCAAGTCCTAGAACAACATTCTCCTACGTAATCATAATATCCTTTGCATCCTTCGAAAATTAGTGCTTATTCCCCAATATCACCAAATATCTACTCCAGATTCAATTTTCCCTATTTATCACACAAAAAAGTTCTTTTTATTTTAAGAGACAGGGTCTTGCTCTGTCACCCATGATGGAGTGCAGTAGTGTAATCACAGCTCACTGAAGCCTCGAACTCCTCGGATCAAGCAATTCTCCTGCCTCAGCTCCCCAGGTAGCTGGGACTACAGGTGTGTGTCACTGCACCCAGCTCATTTTTATTTTTATTTTGTAGAGACAGGGTCTCACTTTGTTGCCCAGACTGGTCTCAAGCCTCTGGCCTCAAACAGTTCTCCCGTTTCAGCCTCCCAAAGTGCTAGGATTATAGGCATGAGCCACTGTGGCCTATTATAAATAAAGCTCTTACAGCTATCATTTATGAACCAAAAGCAAATGATGGTTCATATACTGCATTTGATTGCAATGAATCTTTCATTTCTTTTCATCTAGAATATGCCCCCTTTTTTTCTATCATTGACATCAACTTTTAGAAAAGACCAACCCAGGTATCTCATATAATGTCCCATGTTCTAGATTTGTCCAATTGTTTTCCTAATGGCACAGTTTAATTTCTTATTTTATGACTGTATTTGTCGCAAACAAATAGTTCTAAAGGCTTGATTAGACTCACGTTAAACATTTTTGGTTAGGAATTAATGAATGATGTTTCTGCAAAACATGAGATTGGCCCCCTAACTAGATTATTCCAATGTAAAGTATGTTTTGCCTTTTAGAGCAGGCGAGCTGTCACTAATGGAAAACCTCAATTTTAAAAATGTATTTGCTTACTAACCGGCATGGTTCTTGGCGCAGGAGTTGGAGGAGTTGGCGCTGGAGAGGACTGATATGCAGGTGTAGGGATTGAAGGAGCACTAGGTTCTCTGGCAATGCTTTGTTGCAAGTCCCTTATTAAAGACAAAGTGTTAAAATTAACACAGTGAAAAAATTAGCACACATAAAATACCAAATCTTTCTCTTATTTTTCTTTTCTTCACACATGAAACATAGAAAATGGACGCCAAACAATGATAGTATTTTAGAATATACTATACTTCAAATTAGTACAATCACTATAAAAAAAACAGTATAGAGGTCCCTCAAAAAAACTAAAAATAGTTTTACCATATGATACAACATCCCACTGCTAGGTATATATCCAAAAGATAGGAAGTTAGTACATCAAAGAGGTATCTGCACTATTCACAAAAGAGCCCATCAGCAGATGAATGGATAAATAAAATGTGTTATATATACACAATGGAATATTATGCAATCATAAAAAGGAATGAAATTCTGTCATTTGCAGTAGCATGGATAGAACTGGAGGGCACTATATAAAGTGAAATAAGCCAGGCACAGAAAGACAAACAGTGTATGTTCTCACTCATATATGGGAATTTAAAAAGTTGATCTCATGGAGGTAGAGAACAAAACAATGGTTACGAGAGGCAAGAGAGAGTGGGGGGAGGGAGGGATGAAGAGAGGTTTGTTAATAGCTACGATAGTACAGTTAGATAAAAGGAATATGTTCTAGTGTTCAATAGCATCATAGGGTGAATATAGTTAACAATAACTTATTGTATATTTCAAAACAGCTAGAAGAAAAGATATGGAATGTTCTCAATAAGAAAGAAACGATAGGGCAACCCCTTCGGGTCCCCTCCGACTGTGGGAGCTTTTCTGTCCTCTCAAAAAATTCTGCTTTAGAAAAAAAAAAAAGAAAGAAAGAAATGATAAACATTTGAGATAATGAATATCCCAATTACTCTGATTTGATCATTATATGTATCATATGCATGTATCAAAAGATCCCATGTACCCCATAAATATGTACAACTAGCATTTATCAATTTTTAAAAAAAGAGTAAGACTGAAAAAATAAAATATACTACATTTCTATTCTTGACAAGAACTTAAATCATCTTTATTCCTACTGCTTAGTAAAATGAAGTTATTATCTTATTGTATTTTTGAAGATGGGGGAAAAGGTAAACTGTTTCAGAGGTCAGAGTTATAGCTAGAGTAAGAAATATGTCAAACTGGGCAAATAATCCTAAAAGACTACCCACTCTCTAATAAAAGATAGTCTCTAGATTTAAAAAAACAAAAACAAAGACCTCCTAATATAAGCTTCCTAAAAGTTATCAGAAAATTAAAACCACTCATAGCCACCTAATATTTTAATCACTGTATGATATCAATATTTATGGAAAACACAATAAGTAAGAAAGCTAACCTTTAGGCAAGCTATTATGAAAATTTCTAGAGAAAAAATTTCTGAAGATATTCAAAGAAATGTGACACTGTAATATTTTATGTCAAAAGATAATTCATAATCTGTCATCAAGGTAACCTCAAGAAAGCTATATTATTGAAAAGATCAATAAAGTTTAATACGAAAAATTAGGGAAAAAATTTAAAGTCCCCTCTAACAGTAAATTGGGATCTATTCCAAAATCTCACTAAATAATACCTAATGTAAAATGGACTCTATATAATACATGGTGTTAATCAACCTCTCACTGCACTGATTAATGTACACAGAGAAGTAAATATGATGTGTCCCAAAACGTCTGAGATAGTACCTGCCGCCTGATGTACCACCCACACCTCCCACACCCCACTTGCACTCTCAAAAAGCGATCTGATGATTCCAGAGATTAAAAAAAAAACTAATATATATTCATCGAAAAACCAAAAACTACTTCTTAATGTAAGTAAATAACTGTTTAAAAAATAAACCAGAACTTTTTAATCATATCAAAATTCTAAAAGGTCAGATTTTGAAATATTTGAAAAATATATGTATATTATAAAGCTTTAACACAATACCATTTTTTTTCTTTGATAAACTCTAAGGATGGTTGCAATAAATAAAACATTTATAGGGCAAATGAGAATTTTCTAGCCACTTACTAATAATTAAGTTATTAAGACCAATAAAAAAGCAAAAATACATGAGATAAAATATCACAGTATCCCTATGCCCAACAATCATCATTAATAACATTAATATTTCAACTACTACTGAAAAGACAGCAAAGTTCAGAGTAAAATATTCATTCCTTTTGCACTCCTTAAAATTTTGATGAAATTTCATTTAAAACAAAATGTAAAAATCAAAGTCTCTAGCTAATAAGTATATAAAATGGACAGAAAAATAAAAAATAAAACCACAAAGAGATAACACTATATACCCACCAAAATATGGAACAACCAGAACACTTGTATATTGCTAGGAGGAATATAAACCAGAAAACTGGCCGGGCTTGGTGGCTCAGCCTGTAATCCCGTGCCTTTGGGAGGCTGAGGTGAATGGATTGCCTGAGCCCGTGGGTTCGAGACCCGCCTGGGCAACTTGGCAAGACCTCATCTCTACAATAAATCAAAATGAGCCAGGTGTGGTAGCGCGCGCCTGTAGTTCCAGCTACTTGGAAGGTTGAGGCAGAAGGATCGCCAGAGCCCAACAGGTCGAAGTTGCAGTGGCCGTAAGCGGCCACTGCACTCCAGTCTGGGTGACAGAGTGAGACTCCAACTCAAAAAAAAAATCCAGAAAACTGTTTGGCAATATCAACTAAAGCTGAACACACACAGACCTATGACCCAGCAATTCCACTCTTAGATATACACCCAACAGCACTGCTGGTAAATGCTTACCAAAATGATTATACTACCTAATAAAGTAACGACTAGCCACAGGTGGCTACAGATACCTGAAATGTGGCTAGTCTGAACTGAGATGTGTTGTAAATATAAAATACACACTGGATTTCTGAGACTGTGTGTGGGGAAAAATAGTAAACCTCATTCATAATGTTTACATTAATTATATTTTTAAATGATAATACGTTGGGTACATGAAATATACTACTAAAATTAACTTCACCTGTTTCTTTTTATTTTTCTACAGTGGCTAGTAGAAATTTTACATTTCCTTTTTTTTAAATTTTACATTTTTAACTGCATATGTCATTGTATAGTATTTCACCATATAAATGTAGCTTGATTAATGGAACCAGAACCAGGCATCTGATATGTTTCTATTCTTTTACTGCTACTAACAATTCTAGACAGTTGTGTTTTAAGTTTATGCCAGTACTATACATAATAGCAACTAGAAACTACTCAAATATTCAACAAGTAGAATAACTTCTAATATAGTCACACAAGGAAATACATATACAAGACATGAGAATAAAAGACCTACAAGTACACACAACCATACTGATGAGTCTCACAAATACAATGTTGAGCAAGTCAGTCATAAAAAGGTCTATGAACGATTCTTTTTAACAGCAGAAAGTAATCTATGCTGTCATAAATGAGCATAGTGGTTTTCCTGGGGAAAAGTCAAGATTGGATGGATGGATGCATTTTCGGTGTATTGATCCAAGCACTTGGCTGCCTGGGTGTATTCAGTTTGTGAAAATTCAGCAAGATGTACTTCTCCTTTATATATTATATTTAATAAAAAAGTTTTAAAGAATTTTGACTCAGAGTATTAACAATAACCTTAACAAAATAAACCCTCAGACTTTTTATTTTCTTTTATTTCTTTGAGATAGCGTCTTACTCTGTCACCCAGGCTGGAGTATAGCGGTGCAATCCCAGCTCTCTGCAGCCTCGACCTCCTAGGCTCAAATGATCCTCCTACCTCAGGCTTCTCAGTAGCTGGATACAGGTGTGCACCACCATGCTCAGCTAATTTTTTTTATTTTTGGCAGAGACAAGGTCTGTCTATGTTGCTCAGGCTAAACTCCCAGGCTCAAGCGATTCTTTCACTGTGGCCTCTCAAAGTTCTGGGATTACAGGCATGAGCCACCCCAACTGAGCCATCCCTGAGATTTGTAAAAGCTAACTTTATATATGGCCTACTTTTCCATCATTCATTCGCCTTTCAATTACTGAGCTGAAAACGCCTGACAAGTTTATGACTGTCTCAGAACTGATTTATTTCATAATATAAATACAGAAATATACATATAAATAGTAACAAATCTAATTTTCAAACTAAAGATTTGAAATATAAAATATTTAAAAATGAGAATATTCCAACATTTCTTCCTTAGAATATCCAGAACTTCCTTGTGCATAAACAAGTCAAATTAAATGTTTATTATTTTCTTTCTTTTTACCTAAAAAGCATACCCTACACACTGCTCTGTGTCTCCTTTTTACCATAACTACTTATCTTAGAGATCTTTCCATATCAGTAAATAGAAAGCATCTCCTTTTATTAAATAGCTGCATAGTTTTTCACTGCATAGCTGTAGTTTTATTTATTTCATCAACCCCAGACATTTGATTTGTTTCTGTTATTTACTGCTATAAGCAATGCAGAAATAAATAGGTTCCCAAAAACAGAACAGCTGAGTGAAAGGAATTTGTAATCCTGACCTTTATAACTGCACCATCCTGTATTCTCATGGCAGTGTACAAAATACATATCCCCATGTGCCAACAAAGCATATTATCAAGCTTTCAGATTCTTGACAACTGGAAAAACATTATTTTAGCATAATCTTAATTTGGATTTTATACAGAATGAGGGGTTTTTGTTGTGTTTTTTATGTTTAAGAGTCACCTGTATTTCCTTGTAAGCAAAATCTCTGTTTACATCCTTTCTTCGATTTTCTACTAGATTTTCTACTAGATTTTTTTCTCCTTATTAATTTCAAGTAGTTACTTTACAAATAAGGTAAATTAGCCTGTGAATAAGTTTAAAATATTGGTTCTCTAGTTTGTCTTATCTTGACTCTGCTTACTATGTTGTTTTGTTGTTTTTTTTTTTGAGTTGGAATCTCACTCTGTCACCCAGACTGGAGTGCAGTGGCCGCTCCCGGCCACCGCAGCCTCGACCTGCTGGGCTCTGGCGAGTAGCCAGTTTGCCGAGTAGCCGGAATTACAGGCATGCGCTACCACGCCCAGCTGATTTTTTGATTTATTGTAGAGATGAGGTCTCGCTGCCCAG